TCCAACCATCCCTGGTGATAAACTGCGGATGCACTGGATTGTTGAGCAGGTTGTCCAGCTTCGATGTCAGTGATTGATCTCTTGACTGGGCCTGGCTCCCGCACAGGCTGAGCATCTTGCTCTTCCGGTGGCGGTAGTGCATCCTGGTCATCATACAGTTGGTTTGGTTTCAAGCTACCTTCTCGGATGGCATCGGCACGTTTGCGACAGGGAAACTCAATCTTCTCGGGTACTGAAACCTTTAACACCCTCAATACTGTGACGGATTGGTCAAAATCTGCATCATTGATTTGTTTTAGAGAAGCTACTGCAAATTCTTTTCTCCAATGGAAGCCGGGATGGATGACATATCCTAGGAAGATACCAGGTTCAGAGGTCGGTTCGAACTTCATCTGTTTCTTGGGTTTCTTCCGAGGTCCAGTCCAATAGTCCACCTTACATCCAAACGGGATAAGTGGTCCTTCGAAGTCTGTCCCAAACCTTAATTTCCATGGTGTGTCCTTTCCAGTTCCATCTGGTGCTGTGTCATGCATGATGCACCAATGTCTGGCAGCGTAGGGCCAGTATCCATGGTGAAGTCCTGCTTGAAGCAAATTGGCAGGTGTTCCTTCCAATGTTGACCGTACGGCTCGTTCGGCGATGGCATTGGATGTTGAAATGTAATCTTTACTGATTTGATGCCTGATCTTCATAGCTCTCATAGCTGCTACAATCTCTGGGGCATTATCACTGTAAAAGATTCTAATTTTCTCCAAGCCATCAACGAAATGTTTCATGGCCAGTGTGGTGTTGGAAGTGTCACGGCGTGCAACGGGGTAAACATATCGAAAATCAGTGGCAACATCCTTGAATACCATCGCGACCCTATCTCCGTCTACACCAGTTTCAGGGTCTGATTTGGCAATAAGGTAGTCACCAGTGACATGGTCCCCAAACTTCTTTGCATCAACCATGGATGATCCTCCCTTAGAGTAACCGGGTGGCTTGTACATTTTGGCCTTTGCACAGACATCACAGTAGGGATTCTTAGGAATATGGGTAAGCATGTGTCGTTTACTCTTAGCTTCAGCCTTGAGCGCAGCCTTACCCCTTTCCCTACGTCTTTCCATTTCCGGATCACGACGGACTTCATCCCTTGTATCATCAACCTCATCAGGCTGGACCTCCCGGTCAGCTGGTGCAATGCCTTCTTCATCGGAGGGCGCGTCGGCACCGGGATCGCCTGAGATGTCGGGTACAAGGTCGTCATCAATCTTTGATGAGTTACCACCTACGATAGCGGGTTCGTCATCTTCATATTCTTCGTCGTAAAGGTCTGGTGACGGGGGAGAATCCTCCTCTTCTATGAAGCCTGACTCGGACCCTGATGAACTAGCCATCACTTTAACTCTTTTCATGGGAGAACCATTGCTGCTGGATTTTGCCACTGTGGACACACTTGGTTGATTTGATTTGGAACATAGATATGGGACATAGTCTCTGACTTCAAGTTCAATGACTTTCCCATCAGGTGATACTAATTTCGGCTTCTCATTCTTGGAGCCCCTCCACACGAAGTCAAACCCATCCTCAACGCACCTGAGACCAACTGATAAAACAGGAGGTGAACTTTGCACTAGGTACGGTGATACTGTAGCATTCAGCTCTGGGACTCTTACCTTGCCCTGCTTCATAGATGAACTTTCCCCATTTGCAGTGATGAGACGGATTGGATTATCGGAAAAATAACCGTAATGATCCGGCACATGGTGATCAGTGAGTAGATCTTGTGCACTACCGGTGTCAACAATCCAATCAATAGAGGCTTCGAAACATCCATCAACGTACTCCTCAGATTTGGCAGGCATTGCAACTATTTCCTTTGGAATACTGTGGTCACAACCAAACATGGTGTCACATTCGTAGTTGCATTTGCAGACATTGTTCATTAACGAATTCTTGACTGCTCCTGCCAACATGTTCGCTGACAAACATGCGTCCTCTACGTCCCTTCGGTCAAACTCGAATGGATAGTTGATTGGGAATGTCCTTTTGTATCTTCTTGAAGCTGGATTGATAGGCTCAAGGTCCCCCTTGGCAATGACTTGATACACATCATGGTTGGTGTTGAATGTCACTGCTGGGCAACCGATCACGTCCATGGGTGGCAATAGGCATGCATTGGATACGGATGCGAGCATCGAGGCAATCAGGCAGACAGCTGCTGGGGAAGCTTTGGGAGTGTCAGGTTTGCCTTTATTCCCCTTTGGGGAGCGGCTATTCCTGGGACTCCTTGATCCCTTCTGCTTTGGCGAGCGGTCCCTGCCTTTTCCTGGACTTCTGCTATTCCTCCGTCCGGATCCTTTCGAGTCATTGGATGAAGGCCTAGCAGGAGTGGCAGCACGAGGAGATTTGGTTTGTTTACCCTCGTGACTAAACCTACAGTCATTGCCTCTATTGCATCTTCCCTGTTTCCAAAACTTGCATGGCTGCTTCTTCTTGCTCTTATCGTTTTTACCCCTTGATGGTGATCTGCCACGGTCGGATGAGGGTCGTGATTGACTTCTATCTTTCTTTGGTGGAGGCTTTTCATGCTTGAATGTGCAGGCATCATTCGTGCAGTTACCTTTGTTCCATTTGACACAGTACCCCTTTTGAATGTACCCAGTCTTCTCGCCCACAGCCGGAGCTGCGCTGGATGACGAGGCACCGAGGGTCCTGGCAACTCGTTCACGATTGGACTCGAGTCGCTCCCTGTCCAAGTAGCGGCGAACTGCTGTCACTAGGAAATCGTAGGACTTCTTGTCGGTCCCTTCCTCAGCACGATGATATTCCTGCAAGTCGTGTGCTATTGCTTTGCTGTTTTTGACCTGGTTAAAGAACAGAGTCTCCAGAATGCTAATCTCAGGAATCTTGGGGATACCAGCCATTACTTGGTCCCAATTGCTGATGAATCCACGTAGGTTGTCATTCTTGAGTTTGACACTGAACAAATCCTGTAGTGAGTAGGTCGCTCCATGTTTGATGTTGGTACTGAAATGTTCATGCATCATAAATAGCACCTGTCGACCTCTCACATAACGATGGTTCGTTGCTTCAGTCTCTTTGTAGGTATCAACCTTTCTCGCAAAGTCACCTGTGAGAATGTTGGTGAGTGCGGAAAGCAACTTAGCATCCAATGTAGTGAACTTGCCTACGTCTCGAAGAGCACCAATTGTTTGGCCCTCTTTCCAGGTTTCACTTATCCAATCAAAGGCTTTGTCAGGGGTCAGTTGAAGCCGACATTATAGCTTCCCTGGTACGGATTCTCCAGTTTCTGTATGACTCCGCATGGGGAAAGGCTGGTACTTTTACAGTATCGGCTTCTTTGACCTTGTTCTTTTCCTGTGACTGGTCCCTGGAACTGCCGAACATGGCTCTCATGCGACGGATGAAGCGATGGTCACTATCATCAGAGTTGTACCCATCCCCGTCTCCATCACCATCATCACCGTCCCCAGGCCCACCTCCCGGTGGGCGTCGGCTCCCCGAAGGGGGCTTCTTCCCACGCTTGTCCTTACCACGCCTGCTGTCATGATCCGCCTCTGAATCTTTGTCACCATCTGGAGGGTCAGGTCCTGGTGGCTTTCCCCCCGTGTCCGATTGTGCAACACTGGTTGGTGGATACGTTGGGGACCTAAGGCCTGTAATCTCTGTGACAGGATCATTATTGTCCACTGGTACATTTCCATCCGTGTCAAGCATCTCCCATATGTCTTGGTTGTGATCCGTTGGTTTGGGTGCGCTTGCTGATGCAAATGACGGCAACGGTGCAGAATACTTGACCTCAGTGGACGGCGGTATGACGGCAGTGGCAGTCTGAACAATTGGAATCGGCATTGGGCCTATTGTGTCGAGGAGCTTACTCATCCTCATGTTCATGGATTCGGTTTGCAACTGTTGGGCCTTTATTTGCTCGCTTTGTTGCTTGATGATGGATTCGAGTTGAGACATCTGCATCCTACGGTTCATCTTGGCGTTCATAGTGATCCCTAAGTGATTGGATTTGCTGATCCTTTGTTGCATTTGACTGTCTGGCATTTCCGTCTAAAACCCTTTTGTATACTTCCCCTTGTTGGGCCAATTCTTCACGAAATTGATTTTCCCGACTCTCTGCGAGCAACATCATTTGTTGCATCCGGGCACTCGCAGCTTGTTCTTCTGCATGGAACCTACCGCTCATTTCGGACATCATCGATTGCACCATATTTTCAGTGTTGGCCAAGGCCTCTCGATGACGTGCTTCGGCAACCTGCTCAACCATCTGTGTAATTGCAGGGTCATGTGAATTCACGTACACTTCGTTATTTTGAACTTGCTGAAGGTTCATCGTGTTGTTTACTTCGGTCATTTCATGGTGGTGAACTTCAAGCTTGTTCGACTGTACATGATGTGATCCGGCAGGCATGCCCTCCCGGGATGCGTGAAAGTCATAACCACCTGGACGCTCCACTTTGGGGCATTACTGCGCCTGGAGGGAGCGGGGCTCTGACTTCACGTTTGTCACTCCGAGAGCGTTCCGAAGGAGTCTGGGAAGTTGTGTGACTTGGAACGTCATTTCCAGTTTGACCATTGTCTGCATTCTCAATCGCCATGGCTTGATGATTCCCGGATTCGCGCGAGCCCTCTGGAGATGGTTTTCCAAAGGGAGCAGACATTTAGTTACGAAAGGAAAGTATCTGGCGATACGGCTGATAACCTATGTTTACAGGTGTACCAACCTCAATCAGCCAGCAAAACACACGCTATTTTGTTCTTGAGCCATAAAGTCAGGTGAAATATATAGTAGACTACAGGGCACACTTTACAGGGAGGTTACGGATATTACCTAATGACATCCCGTAAAAATATGATCAAATCTAAGGATGTCAGTGGAGTTCCCCAACCTTCACCCCAAAACCCATCAACCCCACCATCCATCAACCCCACCATCCACCCCAACCCTCAGCCCCCACCAACCAACAAGTCAACCACCAAGGCGCTTCCCCAAGGGTAGACATCCTCCACCTTGGCCGGCTGCTTCTGCTCGAAGTTCACCACACCCGCCGCCACGCTGGCGCGGCCCTGGGGTGTTCGCACCTGCGCGGTTGAGTAAAGGATTAAAGGATTTACCACGTTTACCACCCCCAATTTCTCCATTTTTATGGGTATAAACCATCAATCCATATGGCTGGTGAATTACTTTACGAACATGATTATCATGATGATGGGATTTTGGTTTTGATATTTTGTACCTCAAAACACCTGAAGTTGGTTCCCCCTGGACGCCAAGGGGCTGCGATGCTGACGCTGCAGTTGTACTCGGCACTCTTCTGTTGAGCCACCTACGCGGCAGGAAATGCTGCGCGGACTCGGGTGGTATCCATGGTGGACTCGTGGACCAAAGATGGATTGGTATCATCCTGGATTCTGAATCCTCCAATCCTATACCCTCTGGTGAACTAACATAGCAATGGAAAATGGCTATTTATAGTGGATTTTCCCATTAAGAATGGTGATTTTCCATTGCTATGTTAGTTCACCAGAGGGTAAGTCTCATAATATATTCTTGGCAAAGTTGGCCCTCTACCCAACTAATGCACCATAAATGGCCACGATTTTGGAAGAACATGTGAGCCATCCGATTGCTAGCTGAAGGGAAGCGGATCATATGAAACCTCCAAATTGGAATCACACAGGTGACATATGATTACATCAACATAAAAATATCAAGCATCAACATATTACCCTCTGGTAAACAAACATAACTATGGAAAATCACAATTTTTGAGAGGTAAATCAACTATAAATGGCAATTTTCAATAGCTATGTCAGTCATTACCAGAGGGTAAATCTTCATTTAAAAAAAAAAAATATTCCCAATATATTGGAAAATAAATTCCATGGTTCTAAACCACCAACCAGATCAACATATGATCAACACCTATCAACCCATCACCAATGACCCCATGGTATGCCACCACCTCCATCAATCCCTGCTGCAGCTTCAGGGAGAGATCGGCTAGGCCGCAGCAAGCCAGGGAGAGCCTCAAGCTGCGGGTGGCTTTCATGGCTTTTTATGGTGATTTAATGGCGATTCATGTGGTGTTTTGTGGTGATTTCCTGGTTTTAATGGTGGTGAATCTGGATTTTGTCGGATTTCACGGGTTTAGTGGGAATTGCAACTGGGATTTTTAAGGGACCTAGAGGGGATGCGAATGGAATTTAGACCATCAAACTTGGACAAAGTTCTTTTACAAAACAGGGGAATAGAAACCGATCCATGTGGAGATTTCAAGAAAGTGAGGAAAATTAGAACCAACAGAAAAAGGTTTGTGCAACACAATGGGGATTGATATGATGAACATCATGTTGGTACGAGGAGCGTTCCAATCAGGTACTTCTACAAACATGTTTATTATCTCCCTGGATGTTGCCCATGCCATCCGTAAACAAACGGATTGAACATGATCCTTCCATAAACGACCATCAACAACAGCCCCATTCAGCAGAACAAAGCCCGAGCGTAACGCGGCCGAGCAACCCGCAGAGAAGTCGCAACATGGCGCAGCGAAAAAGAAAAAAAAAAACGCAGCGAACGATGGCCCAAAAAGGGACTGTGAACGGCTGCAGCGAGCAACGTCTTCGAAGCGTCTTGAGTGTTCAAAAAGGTAGAATCCCATGTGCATCCAGAGGTCGCACCACCAATTTCAGAACCAACGGTAAAATGAAAACCTTGGCATGTGGCTGCTCTGTTGATTGGCCAGGTCATGTATATGATAGGGTTTCTTCCCCTTTCATCCCCCAAGACACCACCCCTCACTTCTCAGAGGATACATGAGGCTGCCTCAAAACAAGGTACAAACTCTCATGGCCCATCATTTTCACCCTCAGGAATTGCCATAAATTGGGGTTATAAAAACAATAAATCCATATATATATAAATCATTTATAAATCCCACATTTTTGATTAAACCCATCATCAACCTGGCGCCTTGTCTTTCTGCACCACTGGCGTTTCCTCCTCCAACCTCACTGTTTCCATCCTGGCGACGTTTGGCATCCCATCCGGTACCTACATGCTGAACATGACTACCCTCCAGTAAATTAACATAGACCCTAAAAAATCGTCTTATAGTGGAAGTAGTGGAAGCTCATCTTCCCATCCCCTATTTGGATCTATTTGGCAGAGAGTCCATTGGTAATTGGAGGGGCCATACTTTGAATATTGGCGCAACGTCAACGTCAGCGCCTCTCCACTGGCGGCAGCGTTGTCTCGGCGACCGCTGCGACTCCTGCGGGAAAAGTACCGCTGTTTGAATGTCATCGTTGTCGTTCCATGGGCCGGTCTCAAACTTACATTTTCCCAAGGCGACCCGGATCAATCTGGATCAATCTGCAACCTTTTCAGAAGCATGGCCAATCGTGATCCATCATATGTGGGCGACACAAACTATCCGATTTGTCCCATTCAGAGCAAAACGTGATTGGCAACGGCGGCAGCATTGATCAAACCCAGCAACCCCAAACGGCGCAGCCGTTCCTGCTCCTGGTGGGCTATCCTTAGCCTCACTGCCTGGAGCTGAAAAAAGATTTTCGAAAGATCCGATTCTTTGGCCCTTCCCCAGGTATGGCCACGTGAGGTCAAATATGATTCCAGTGATTTTCGGCATGAACCCAAGCTACCCGGCCAACCGCACCTCCCACTTCAGCCTCCACGGCCTCCACCGGCGTCGCCCTCAACTCCGATGTGGCCGTGGCAACCGCGGTGGCAACCGCGGTGGCAAGTGGATCCGGTGGATCTTCCGTTCCAGGCTCCACTGCGGAGCCAGGTAGGTCCACTACCTGAGTTGCATCCAATCTGCCACCGGATCTGGCAGTTGATGTGTCAACCACTGGATCAGCGAGCTGAGGAGTTTCTCTGGACTTGGAAGCGTCAGCCTGTTGCGAAGCCTTCTGGAACCGCTTCTTCAATTCGTCGACATCTTGGTCGAAGGTATCCGGCTCCCACACCCGCACTGCTGGGATGGTGCTATCTTTGCCATCTTTTGGCATCTTCAGCGTCTTGGTCTCATCGTGGTCTACTGGGCCGGTCTTCACCGTCTTCTGCTCTGACTTGGCGTCGTCCAACTCTTCCAATTTCTCCTCCTTCACAGCCTCCACATCCTGGATTTCCAGTGGCTCCATCTCCGGTTTCGCCATCGCTTTTTCCGCCTGGGAAACCTCCACCCGCTCCACCTGTGGTTCATCCACCGCCTGAACCGCCTGAACCGCCTGGACCGGCTCCACTCCGCTCTTCCTTGGAGCGCGATGCAATCGACCAGGCACCGGTGTGGACACCTGCCGATTCTGCCAGCAGAGACAAAATCCATGAATTTCTATGGAAAAAATGGGTCGAAGCTGGCCAAGAGTGGCAGTGTCATGACCAGCACCAAATGATGTCAAGTTCTCTTCCCGCCCTGCCTCCACACTCTTGGTTTCCTTCCCGCCCTGCCTCCACACTCTTGGTTTCCGCCTCGGCTGCTTTCGCTTCTGCTTCCGCGGTGTGGGCATCGGCGTCGCCTTCCACGTGGGCCGGTGCCTTCGCAGCCAAGCAGCAAGTTTCCAAGTGGGTAAGTATTGTATCAGTTATATACCAGTTATATATATATATATCTATCACATTTTACAACTTACACAACAGCTATATCATAATCTGCCATCCTTCCTGTCTGCTGGATCTATCATCATATCATCATATCCGACTTGGATCATCCATGAGGTCGTCAGAACCCTCCGCGCCTCCATGGACAGGACGATTTGGCCACTGGGCGATCGCAGGGAGGTCCACCCCTCGAAGGGCTCTCGGATGAAGGCGCCTCAGTTGGAGAATTTTGAGGATTCTGAGGATGCTTAAAACCGTTAAAACCCTAAACCCCCAAAACACTTCTTGGCTCATTTTGATTCTGAAGTTTCACTTCTGCCGCCTGGGCCTGTCTACCTCCACCAAGTATATAGGTTGAAATGCTTCCCACGTGACACAAAAACTTCAAGACTTTGACAGCAAGAAGACTTACAGTAGCTCCTTTCAATCTACAGTAAATCTATCCCATCATGGAGCTATCTCTTGGAAGTGCGATATATTATTTAAGTATAGTTATAAATTATGTGTATATATATATATATATAATTATAATATATATATATATACATACATATAGAGGGGTTATATCAGTTACATCCCAACTTACGGGAGTTTAGTCACTTTCGTCACCCTTCACCATGGCTCCCGTTTCACCTCACCTTGCACCCGAGCCACGTTCGTTGCGCAGCTCCAGGACGAAGACCGTGGTGCCTGGTGGGATCTGCCCCACCACCTCCGTGAGACGTGACTCACCTGGCGTCAGGCGGAGTCCTTGATGTTAACCCTGGGTGAAGCACAGGTGGGTTAACCGGGTTAACCCCCAAATAACCCCCAAATAGTGATAACATGTGATTAACCTATGATGAACCTATGATGGACCTATGATCATCATGATGAGCTAAAACTGCTAAAATAGTACCCAAATGATAACCTTATAGGACCTATGATCATCATGATCATCTGCTGCTAAAATAGTGGAACACCGTTTTCAAATGGCACTATGCAGTACCCCCCAAATAAAACACACCAGGGGTTTATGAATCTGGAGTTGACATTGCAGTATCAACTGGTGGATTTGGGAACCATTTGATTCTTGCAAATATCTGGCAAGTGCGAACCCATGAGTGGTGTCGAGCCGGAAATGAAGCATCAAAAATGCTTCGAAGTGGGTCCAGAAGCGCAGTTGCCAGAATTCATCTCCAGCTTCATAATTGTCATAGGTTCTCCCAACCTTTGCTGGTGACCCCCCAATAACAAAGGCTTAGTTACCATCTATTGTTGGGGCGCATTACCTGACTGGGTGGATGACTGCAATCTCCCAACATCCAGCCTTTGGAAACGATGGCCTTCAAATGAGTCCACCACCAGCCTGATCAGTTCCAGTGAAGCCCTGTTTGGTGAAAAAATGAAGATCGCGCATCCGTCCAGCAGTTGACTTGGAGAAAAATCCTGGGTTACTTTGGGTTAGATATTCCAACATATTCCAATGATTTCCAATGGATATCTGTTTCCCTCCACTGAATGATAATCTCGGCCGCAGCTCGTTTCACAAGCTCAGAACGTTCCACCGCTCGCTGGAAACCTGCCTGGCTCCTCTGACCTTGGCACATGGCACATCATGGCACATCATGGCAGAGGCCCGGGTAAATCCCCACGGTAGCACTGGCAGCCCGGGCGAGTTCTCACCACTTGCCACGGGTCCCACGGGGGCCTCAGCTGCCCCTATGAATTCACCCAAGTGGAACAATGGACATGGCAAGCACCCCCGCCAAAATAAAGCCAATCGATAAAGTCATATGCGCCATGGTCAAAAAAAGGTAATATGGTATATGACATCATCATTGGGGACTCCTTGCAATGGGTTTATTCAACCATGCAATATTCATGAATCGGAACATGATCCCCTTTTATGGGATAACAGACTCAATAGACCGTGGCGCACATTAGAATCAATCCCATTCAAACATGTCCCAACACTGGAAGCTTGGCCGACCCAGGCTGCCCTGACAGAATCTTCTGCAGCCGCAGGTTTGACAGCCGCAGGTTTGACTGGGCTGGAAGAGGAAGTCGCCTGCCAAAATGATACAAAAAAAGGCGGCGAAAGACGAGTCCTGTGCTTTTCCAACAGGTCATGGAGGTTTCCTGAAATGGCACCCCCAAATCATCCAAGTCATGGATGACAATTTTAGTTTTGAAACCCATAGCGACTTGGGGATACCCCAGTTTAAGAAACCCCTAGATGTTGCAAATGTTGCACTCGTCAAAATTGAAATTTCTACCCCTGCCCTTTTTTTCTATGAGCACCATTTTGTTCACCATGTTTTTCCCGTAAAAATGCTAGCTGCCAAAACCTTTCCATAATTTGATGATAGTGGACACCCTGTTTTCAACAAAAGCCTCATGTTTTCACAGGAAGAGCTAATCAGCCAATCCAAAACTCGCAGCTCTGCCTGTGAGCTCTCTGATGTTGAGCTGTCTGAGGCACTGTCCTCTCGGCGTCAGGCTGGGCGTGGGCCTTCTGGGATACGCTGCTGTTTTTCAAGGCTATACTCCCAAAGATAACCCCTCCCAAATAGTAGATACCTCTCCTGAAACCCTTTAGTTTGTGATCTATTCATTTTTTGGATCCCTTATTGTGGATAATGTTGGTACAACAATAATAAACCATCCCAATTTCACCATTTTTATAGGTGGTATGTTTACCATTCCCAGTCATGGGTGGTTTATAATGGGATCCTAAAGGCTTGGAAGCATCCAAGGCTCGCCATCCTCTGAGGATGTTGATGCAGCTCGTGGAGCAGACCCAGTAGGCTTGGCCTGGGTCGGTCCACCGGTCCATCGGCCACACCCTAATTTGGCCACAAGAAGTTGGGCACCTGGGGATTTTTCATGCCAGAAATCGATCAGAATCAAAAGCAACATCCTTTTGAATGTCCTCTTCATGAAGCTCACATCTTCACGGATCTTCAAAAACCAAAACCGTGATATGGGTCTGTCTGGAAATAGTGTACCCCTAAACCAATGGTTCATCATCATTTTCCCCACGAAACTGAGCCTCCACACTTGAACTTTGGGAGCGGGTTGTGCCTGACAAGGGAATGGCCATGAAGATTGGTGGCCCTTTCCCCCCATAACAACTCAACCCTCCAGAAACCTTGGTTTAGTGAATCTGTTCATTTTGGGGCAACATTTTGGTGGTGATTGTTTTTCTCTTGGAGAAAAAACGGAATCGTACAATGAGGGATCAAATGGCTACCGCGAAGCTCAGCCCAATCAGTAAGTATTTTTTGTGGCCATTGTCACGTCACCTAGACTGAGGGTTATTCAATGGCCAAATGGTCCTTCTAAGTACCTATATGGAGGTTTCCTGACATGGGGGTACCCCCAAATCATCTATTTTGATTGAATTTTCCACTACAAACCATCCATTTTGGGGTACCCCCATTTATGGAAACCATCATATGGGAAAATCCACTGACCATTCGCAGTGCAGGAACAGCCAGCACCTCACTGCTGTCGCTGCTGGTACTTCCACTGCTATCGCTGTCCTCATCACCAGCTGTGCGACTTGAATTCCAGCCATGTGAGACAAGTAAGCTTATCTCACGCGTCGAAATTCCAGCCTTTCAGATCATGTCAGCTGATCCACAACCAGTGAAATATCAAACATCAGTCTCCAGTGAAACATCAAACATCATCTGCGGAAAAAAGTGTTCCCCGCAGCTCCTTCGAACTGGAGGGTGAAGTCGGCTCCGCCTCCGCAATGCGAAGCTCTTTCTGCTTCGGAAGCTCCTGGCCCAGTTTGGGGCATGGCTTAAAGAGGTACCGCTGACCATGTTCCCATTTAAAGAAAAAATCTATGGGTAGACCGGGTAGACCATTCGTGGGGCCCATGCATTGACCTAGTCACTACGGCAATATCAAATTGGGCCGTGGTGGGACTTAGTGGAGGGTTTCAACCCCAGCACTGGAAGCAATATTTCAACATACTGTGGATGGAAGAAATCCTGCACCAGTTGATAGATGCTTGAAACCCTATAGATAATGGGATGTTTACGAGTACCATCTATCAACTGGTGCAGGATTTTTTCCATCCACAGTATTGACAGCTGAACTTCAACGCCCCTTGGCTCCAGCTTCCCAACTGGGCCTCGTTGGGCGGTGGAAGCTCCTCGGAGGAACGTTCAGCTGGCTCTTCCACCGGTGGTGGCGGTGGCGGTGGCGGGGGCACATCCTGCACACGGCGATCGTCCAAGAGGGAAATCATCGTCCAAGCCCTCCACAGAGATTCCAAAGGACAGTCGGACATACCGTTTGCTGCTCAAGATCCTCAAGATCCTCAAGAACCCAATATCAACCTTATCAACCTTCTCACCAGCCAACGCCCTCCTCAACTCCAGGCGGCTCTTCTTCCACCTGCCAAAATGAGCAGGACCGCAACCCGCAGCGCTTCAAACAATCGATGGGGCGTGAAAGAAACATGTTTGATGAATGCCAATTCCACCTACCTTGGAGATCGCCCATTGCAGCATCTTCCAATTTAGTTTCGAATTCTTCAAACGCAGCCCCATCTCGTCGAATTTCGACTGACGAAAACAGATCGAGAATCACAGCGATACCAAAACATGTTGCCCTCAAAGAAACCAAGAGGATTTCTCTAACAATATTTCATCACACTTGTTTTTTGGACATAGCACCCGGAAAAAAAAAACAGAGAGAATCCTCCTAAGGTCCTACTATATAACAAATATATAACAATATCGAATGATAGTGGTGTGGTAAAGCCATATATCCCCTGTGATCATCTAAGGTCTCAGGTTCCACGCTTTAATCACGACCGGTCCATTTTGAAGACACTGGATATCCCCAAAGTCGGAAACCTCGAAATCTGATCATCTGAGGTAAGATATATATAGATATATGGTAAGATATCCCTAAAAACATCTAAAAACCTCAATATATATATCATCCAGATCGATCTACCATCCAGATCCAACACATGTTCCAACACATATATCATCCAGATAGCAAAATTATATGTATCCATATATCCATATGTATCCATAAATTCTAAATGGGCCATATGTTCAGTAGCAAACTGTTGGTTTACTGGAGGCTTAACGGTGACCGAAGATCCCCCCCACCGGCACCAGCACCTCCAAGGGTTCCACTGCGAAGAGGCGCTCGGGCGTCAGCACGGACACCCAGCCCTCGTAGGGATCGTTGATGCGGGCCTTGGAGGGAAGGAAGATGGGAAAACCATGGCAAATCCCAAGAAATCATGAGAAAAAATTATGAAAAACATGGGAAAGTATGGGAAACCCGCCAGAAATCATGGGAAAACATGGATGGGAAGATATGAAAAATGATGAAAAGTGTATGGAAAGCATATGAAAATGCAGCAGAAACGATGGGTGAATGTTCAATGAATGACTTCGCAACTTGCAGACTTGCCGCTTTTCTGCAACTCGGTCAAGGCACCCGGGTTTCCACCACCTCCAAAATGTAAATGCGGGTCTTCACCGGCAAACTTCCTCAGGTCATTTTCTGGAAGAATGCTGTGGAAACCATGGCGTTCAACTGCGGAAAAGTGATGGTTTTAGGTGTTTTGGTTGGACCGCCCTGCAATGACTTTACCCAGAAAAATCGGATGTGTTTCAAACATCGCAGTTCCATGAGTCTCATGGAAACCCCAGCCCCCAGCCGCTTCGGACCGCGGCACCCAGCAATTCGCTGCGCTTGCTGCGGCCCTCGCGCACGTTCACCTGGACCAGCGTCATGGCCCAGCCCGGGCGGATCTCGGCGGTGCCAGGGGGTGGAAATCGACCCCAACTCCAAAGATCTCCAAAGATCTCCGCGAAACCCGGGAGGTTGGAAACATATCATGGCATATCCCAAATTCACAGTTGGATGCAGTTGGATGCTGGGCCAAGACCTGTTTCCAATTTTCTGCCGTCAAATCCACAAATGCACATGCCATCCCAGCATCCAATGGCGGATCGTACAGGCTCACGGCATCCTCGTTCTCCTGCGACATGGTGCCGGCCGCGGCACCGGGAGCATCCGGGAGGTCGGGCAGCAGCCAGGGACCATCGGGGAGTTCCAGGCACACCTCCTGCAATGTGTCATCTAAGGCTCAAAGAACTGGCAGTCTGATCACATAGGTGAAAGATTGGAAGGTATTTCTTGATCTTTTTTGGCTTAGGTCCCTCAATAGGGGAATAATAAATTAACTCCGACCTTCCAACAAAACAGCCCACCGCTGCGCGGTTTCCTTTGCCGATGTCATGGTCGAGATCCATCCATCGCAAGGCGAATCGATCTGAGCCTAACCACAGGGTTTCAACCGAACTGTGGATGTTCCACTCGTTTCAAAATCAAAGTTGGACAATAATCCCATTACCAGCTGCCAAGAGGCTCGCATTCCACTGAGGTGCACGATGTGGACATCCTCACCAATGGTGAGCAGTCCTGGGAAGGTCAAATCCTATCACCAAAGAACCGCCTCTTTTGCTCTTCTCCAGCACGCGGAATCCCAACCATGAACAACTTAAAATAAGAAAGCCCCAAAAAGAAACACGACAAATTCCAATCCCAATCCCACTAAATATCCCAATGTCAAATGCTCAACATATTCTAAAGTAAATAAACAACACCATAATAATAATGATCCCATCTTTATTGGGATCTCAACATATTCTCAACATCCCAATCCAAATCCCTCCATCCCCTGCCGAGTCACGCACCACCTGGGCCTTCTTGGAACGTCCATCGCGCACGTTGAGCTCTCGCAAGGTCCGCGCCCAACTGGGCAGCGGCACCTGATGGCTGCGTATTATGTGATAATAGTTATGAATAGTTATGAATAGTTATGAATAGTTATGAATAGTTATACCTAGCCTATATCTATATCTATTATGTATTTGTCAATTGTTCAGTGATGTGTACACTGTTGTTGGCTATTGTACAGCACCAATGTACATAAATAGATCGTATAGTACAAGAACACTCTGACAATGTGCGAGTGTTGCATGACCAGCCACACTGTCCAAATATAGCCGCTGTCCATCCTGTCCACCATACACACGTATAATCAATGGGAATTTCAGGACCCTAGAAGTACGTTAGTACCGGTTAGTACCATATTTTTCACGACAGAAATTGGAGGCACCGTCAAGGCATCATCCACCGCACTCTGCATGCTCTGGGCATGACCTGCGGAGAAGAAGCTGAAGAGGATAACCAGTCGAGATTTACACATCTGTCATTGTATATGTTGTATACATAGTAAAAATAACGATGCACATACACAATTAAACATGGAAATCTAGAGATAGATGTAGATATAAATATAAATATAGACTATAGATATATCCTATCTTTCCGCGTATCAACCTACAGTTTTAAAGTATCTCAAAGCAGGTGCCAAGCCTCAAGAATCAGCGCAAGGCACGACATCCATGGCATGGCACGCTTCGGTTTCAGGTATCAAAGTTTGGCACTGGCAGTGATACCGGTCACATCGAGGGATCTCAACTTTTGACCCACAAAATCCATTGAAAGGCGCCACACATGTGTTCATCGTTCATCACTACATCAGGGGTTCAAAGTTCAAAGTGTTGTCATGATGTGGGTACAAATGCGGCTTTGTGTTTCGAGCTTCAAAACCATTGCCAAGCAAAAGAGGCGAGGACCAGACTCCAATCTCCAAAACAATGCTCATGGCACTGACCAAGCGAACAATGGCTAGGGCAAATACCAGTCACTACATGGTTGACACAAGAAATGAGTTGAAATCCAAACTTCACCCAGGATGGTTCCAAGGGTTTTGCTTGGAGGTAGGATGTGTTGGCGTGAGGTTCACCAGGCGAAACGTGCTGCACCGCCAGGTGAACCCAGTATCCCTGGCCCTTGGCAAAGAAAAACCCAGGTCCTGGAGCTAGCTTCCCCCTTCACAAATCTTCACAAGAAACCCAATGATCCAAAGTGCATCTCTGGTCACTCATGGCCCCATCGCCCTTTTTCTCAAGGAGCACCAGCACCACAGTCCGCTTCCTGCAAGCATCAGTAGCATCAGCCAGACAAGTCGACAAGTCTCACAAGTTTCAGAAAGGACTTCACCCCATCCAATGATCCAAAATGATCCAAGATCTCTCCATCATCTACCCTCTGGCAATTTAACATAGCTATTGAAAATCACCATTTAGTTCGTGGATTTTCCCATGAAAAATGGGTGGATCTTTCCATAGTTATGTAAGCGTTTACCAGAGGGTATCAACCAATTTCCACCCCAGCCATCCTCAAATTGCAGCAGCACCGAACGCAGCTCAGCATTGCTGAAGGCACATTCTTCTGGCCAATGGAGGTGGCTCTTGAAGAGGTGTGTCAGGAAACCTGGCGGATCAAAATACCCTGGTAAACACCAAAAATGGCGATTTATGATGCACCTATATATGTCATAAATTTCTAAATAATCTAAATACCTATATATTTCATAATAGTTTGGGGCGGATGAACATCCATAATAGTTTTCATCCCCCCCAAAACTCCACAAACGTTGCAGTAGAGGTTTTGACTCATCCCCATACGAATCTCTCGAATGATATGTGCAGAAAAGATGGGCATCACATAACCAAATCTTTGGATGAGTTTCCCAAGAAAAAATTGAAGATTGGTGGATTTGGGGATAGCAACATATGGGTTTGTGATACCCATTATGCCCATTAGTTACTACTTCTTCCAATGGGATAACCCATCATTACCAATGATATCCCCATAAAATCGATGGTTTTCTACCTCGTCCATATCGCTATGTCTTAAATCCACATGAATCCCCAGTAACATCAATAAATTGAAGTTCAATCATGGATCATTCCCATCATTCCCCGTTCCCAATAACTTGCGTTCCCTTGTTGCATTGGTTAAATCCCCATAGTTGGATCATTCACATCCCCGTTAGAACCAAGAACCTGTTCCCTTGTTGGTTTTCTACCCCTGCTTTTTGGGGCACCAAACCCCCCAAGAAAATCCACCCTTCACCTGTATGCGATACCACCGCCAGCTGCCGCTGAGGCAAGTCCCTCAGCAACTTCAGCAGCTCAAGGCATCGAAGGTCCAGGTCTTCGACTGACTCCTGAAAAAAATTTCGGAAAAAATGGGAGAACAAAGGTGGGTCACATTAAAAAAATGGGATGTTCATCCATTCATAAAAGATTGTACAGTAAACCGTTTTATTGTCCACAATAGGGGTATATCATGAAGGATATAAATGCGAGAAAAATACCCCATATAAATGGAGAATAACCTTTTCATCCGGAAAACTATGTTGGTTGGTAGGGGGATAAAAAGGTGGGGAACAAATGTAGCATTTTGTTTTGCATCACATCCCTCCATTTTAGGGTTGCAATGGCCTTCAGAATCAGCCCCCAGTAAAAGGATGTAATCCGAAAATTTGGATGAGGTTTGGGGTGAGATCATCAACGATAAAATGCTGGTTAAATCGATTCCAAAGTTGGTAAGTTCGTGGAGGTGTCCAGATGCATGCAAAATACAGGCAAATGTAAACAAAAACTCCAAAAAATCAAAGGATTTGTATGCGGTCCCAAAATATGCCAAAATGCATCCCCGAAATTGGATTGTGCTCCCGAAATATGAACAAACACATCCAAAACGCTGGCCAAGTGGCCAAGATCCAATGCAAAAATGCGGATGTTCGATCTTATTCACAAAATTGGTCTCTCTCGTAAAACATTGTGATAAACCCCCACGCCTAGAACCAAAAAAACAATTGAACCTAGAGGGCAAGACAAATGAGCTATAGCAGCTAAACCCACCGAAAATGTCGGGGAGAAACTTACAGAGATTCTATGGTCATCCTAGAAATGACAACTTCTCCCTTTCCCATTCCTTCAAATGTACCAACACGATGGCTGATGGTCCCACCCAACCTCCATCATGGAAAATGTTTCAAGGTCACATGCCCCGATATCTCCATCAATATAGGACCACCCAAAATGTTCGACAGTTCAAAGATTCAAAATTTCATTCCAAATATATAAACATCCAAAAAAAATCATTTAAACTCATGTTCATCAAAAAAAACACCAGGTTTACAGTTTTACACATTTCCACCCCATTTCTGGGCACCCCATCCCCTCCGGTGCTCCTTCCGCGCCGCGAAGGTGTCCTCCCCGGGCGGCACGCGACTGAAATCCACGCGCTCGAAGCTGGCGCGTTGCAACTCAACCGAGTGGCGATAGTCGCAGGGCCGGGCATGTCCTGGATGGCAAAACAGCAATTTGTTTAAATCCCGGTTGGGAATCTATGGGGATTTTGATGATTCATGGCGAATTTATTCTGATTTTATGGTGATTTTATTGTGATTAATGGTACTGTTTATGATGATTCATGGTACTGTTTATGGTGATTAACGGAGATTTTTGGGATTGAATCAAAACCTATGGGGATACAATCAAGATTTGTATGCAACAAAAATGATGGCGATGTGATGGTGGTATCATTGGGATATCAACGTGCAATAAAATGACAGGCCTGGGTTGGTCATGGACTGTACCGATGTAACCTCCAATTGACCACTCTAAGAGGGACAATCAAAAAAATGATGATCCGTTGGAATCGGTTTGGCAAAAGGGGTTGTTTTTTGTGAAAACGGTATCTTTCTAACTGATGTTGTTTGCCAAAATTGCAAAAACTGTGTCTACAAATCCATGATTGATATGTCACAATCATAAATATTCACGCAAGGAGTTGTGTGACCTTCTCTGTCGGGTAGAGCTACCACGGATATTTATCCAGAGTTATTATCCATATATACATATACATAAATATAATGCCACCATATCCCCCTGTTTGCCCCTGCGTTTCATCACAGCGGTTCCGTCCTTGGCTAAACTCCCAGGCCGCTTCCACAGCGTAGCAAGGAACACCCCTCTCCAAGTGGGTTGCTAATGCGAGCGCAGCTGTCTGCAAAGTGCGCCGCAGGGGTGAGCAAATGATGGCCTGGCACGGTTACCACGGCCGCCGAAAAGTTTAGGCTACAAATATAGCCCGTATAAGCTAAACACTGTGGATGATGGATAATCAAGGCATCATGGCAATTTTCCATAAAGAATGTGAACTAAAATATGCGCTGTTGGCGCTCGCCAAATCTGAACGACTCCTCAGGGATGGATCACTCCAAAAATACGCTTCGGATTTAAGGCACGCCCCATACGGAAACTGGATCAAAGCATTCAGAGTTACAGCCTGCTCGACTTCATGCCCAATTCCGTTAGCCATATCGAAAAATTCAAAAAATCAAACATATGTGGAATTTTCGTCATGTTTGGCCCACATGCCTTAGGAGGATAAATACCATGATGCATCAATCCTGTCAGCGCGTTGGTCTCGTATTGCTGGGCATATATATGATTCTATCCGATTTGTATATGATGTGCTAATGAACATGGCCAAGGAAAATCAACTCCTCACAAATACTTTTGAATGGACACCATAATTTTCCCATGTGTGACCTGGTTTTTTTCCCCCGGTGGTCGAAACAGTGACCTTCGGGGGTTGTACCGTACGTACCTCACATGGCAAGGTTTTGACGCGCTCCGCAAGTTCTTGGCTCTGGACCTCCAAGCAGAACACCAGATTGCACCAACACGATCAGGACGATACAAATGATGTACATGAACGTAGTACACCCACACATGTTACATACGCGTTTGTGAATGCAAACACGCACACACACACAGTCACACACAATATTTTTTGTAATTTTTTTGTTTGGTCGTTTTTTATTCTAGTTGTTATTATCGGTATCAACTTGTTTGTTTACCGTTTCGATCGGGGTTTCGACACGCCAAGACTGTTCCAACCTCACCGGTCTTGGACAATAGAGAGTCGAAGAATTGCGCGTCTTCATACGCAGCCAAATAGCCAGGAGAATCCCTGCCAACACCACGTGCCGGCACAAAAGTTCCGTATTGTGAACGATTTAATCAGCTGTGCGAAATCAATTCCAAACGTTTCGCCGTGAACAAGTTAAATAACAAGGGACCCTAAGCAGTTTGGAAGGGAACATCTACTGACAAAAGATCCGGACCAGGATTGCTGCTTTCACACAAGAATCGCAAGTAGAATTTCACACTTTAGTCCCTTGTCGCATAGGTAACCCTAGCAGACGACCTTTTCAGGAACCTCATCCAAGCGCCTCTTAAACAATCTCATCCGGATTTCACCAGCGAGAAGCAGGGCTGGACAATACCCCAAACCCCTTCCCCTTAGCCGAAGGCGAACACCACTACACAATGGATGACACTACACAATGGAGTTCCAACTGCGCAACACACAACCGGATCTCTTTATCCTCCTCACTGATTGGGTATTAAATATGCGCACATACCCTATGACCTTCAACATAGCTTTCAGAACCACGCTCTTCACTGGCTGTGAGCGTTTTTAATAATTTCCTACAACTAACCCCTTTATTAGAACTGGAAAAGGTATTTGGGTCGAGGCTGACAGGGAGAGAGACTTTCCCTTTCGTTTTTAAAAAAAAAAACGGATTTCACAAAAAAATCTCATTCAAAGATCCTAACGAAATCTACAAAAAGAAATCTCCTAGCAAAAGGCCCTTCCACAACATCTTCAACAACATCCTGATCTTCGGGGATGGTCTGGCAGGGTCGAAAGGAGATACTCATTTTGTGACACCAAATGGTCATTGGTGTGGCAAGTGCGAGAGTTGGATGCCCCAGTTTTATGTTTTTTATAAAAAAAATAATGTTGAAAGTGATGCATCGTACTGTGTGGTCCTATGTCGTCTCGGATCTTGTTTTCTGACCGCATTCACTGGCACTAGTTACTTCGTATTTTCAACTCTTGCTGGGGTGTCTTCAAAAATTATCGTCAGAGACGGTAAGATCCTTGTCCACCAAATATCATGTTTGACGCGCGAAATGAAATCCGCCAAAACCTTTCCCGATCCACGCTGGCCACCGTTGTATAACGTCACGACACCTTGCGTTCGCCACGTGCATGAAAAAAAAATTGCCGCGCTCAACGTGCCACACAGATGATGCACTGACCGTCCAAAACAGCCAAAACTCTTGCGTTTGCCACGCACAATGCGGACACCGCACGCGGGAGAAATAAGTAATTATATGTTTGTATCCCGTCAAAATAACCGAATTAGCCTGACGCGCCGTCAGCCATTTGGAGGAACAGCTAGGTTCAACTACAGGTTCCACATCTTTAGGTGTGTGCCTGCATGTGTGACAATGGAGGCGGCACAAATTTAACACAAACCACCACATACCGCGAATGATGCCTCGGATGCTGGTATGCAGCGGCGTTGGACTCAGCCTGCCGGGTTCACAGGCGAATAAATTTGCCTGCGGCTGACACAACGCAAAGCCTGCACCAAATCCGTTTGATTCCTTCCATTGTTTATACCGTTTTGTGTCCATCACTTTTCCGAACCCGGCAGCACAAACTCCAACAAACCAGAAAATTCAGTTCGCCATGAATACAAACTATTGGCCTCTGCGTGGCGAATAAAGTAGACGGTTTTTGTACCCGGCGACTCGGAGGCAATCTCCCGCCATGCAACGCAGGATTGCACTGCCATAATGTTTTACTATCACACGCCGGTTCCGGCCAGCCGTACTGATGTCGCAAGCGCCTCAACATATCTGCATCGCCTGGTGCAATGCAAGTCTTGCCCATGCAACAATGCAAGCTATGCCGGTTCCAGATGTACGACTGCATGATTCACCGCTTGCAAGTGAAAGTGCCGCTTAACGGTTTCCATGACACTGGGTGCTGGCGTGAAAATTTGAGCCTTGTTTTTTTCACATGTTTCCGTCTCACTGCTGCAAAATAATCATGCAAATGACAGGACGTGAAGCGTGGGCAGAATTCATCACTCTCCAGGTTTCCGTGGGGTATCCGCCGCAGACCAAAATATATAATCGTGCGCATGTCCAATCCAAGGAGTCGAGTTCCGGCTGATCAAGCAATTAATGGTGAAATTTTTGTTGTTCCCAAAGGCGTTTCTGTTGCTGCATGTTTTTGCTACCGCGTGGGAAACCGTACGTGTCTATGCCCTTTTTTGAAATCGGGCGGCGTGGGGTGCGAAGGGGTGGGGCGCGGTAACAACGTCCAATGGCACTTCCACACTATGGTGATGCTACGTTGTTCCTTCCGGACCGCTGTCGGCGCGCACGGGGGAGAGCGTAAAACTGCCTGTCAAGGCGCGTTAATGTTCATTTCGCTCACTGTCGGCAGTGTTTCGTGATGGTACGTGCCCGTCAGTTAGAAGTTGTGCCCGTCAGTTAGAAGTTGTGCCCGCATGACATGTTATTTTTTGTGTGGTGGGGAACAGAGGGGGGGGGGGGGGGGGGGGGGGGGGGCACACTCACACACGCGTGATGTTACGTTGTAAGATCTTTTCTTGCACTTGCACACACGCGTGATTTTACGTTGTAAGATCTTCTCTTGCACTTGCACACACGCGTGATGTTACGTTGTAACATCTTCTCCTGCACTTGCACACACGCGTGATGTTACGTTGTAATATTTTCTCTTGCACGAACTCTCACCGATTATATCTTTTCGCATGAGCAAGTTGTCAAAAGAACAACCAAAAATGTTAAATCGGAGTGCATCCATGAAAGCCAGCTTGCGTGATGAACCCAAAGAAAACTGTTGCCAAAATCGTGGGAGAAAATAATTACAGTGAAGCAGAATTTTCACGTGTCAAGCGGTCTTTGAGACGTGTCAACAAAGTAGGTCGCATGATGCCATCCCAGTCACACATAATTCCTTTGGCAATGCAAAAAAAAAATTGGATGGTTCCGGATTAGAAACACTGTTGCTGGCCATGGTTTTCTACCGGCAAGCCAGAATGTCTCAGGTTGGATGCGATCCCAAAAAATTTGGGAAAGCGTCAGACGACAACGCGTGGCTGAAGATATGAATAAAAAAGTTAGCATGCCGGCGCGCGCCCAGAAAAGGTCCGAAACGACGTTGTTGGATCTGTCGGTGCGGTAGGGCAGGAACTATTCCATACCGTTCCCTTTGACGCTACATGCTCCGCTGTAGAATATTCCACACCGTGTTGATGCTATGCTGTAAAATCGTCCGTACCATCTCCATTCACGCCTGGTGTTACGCTGTAAAATTTTCCACACCGTGTCCTTTCACATTTGGTGCCACGCTGAAAAATCGTCCATACTGTGTGCACTAACACTAGATGCTACGCTGTAAAATCCTCCGCGCCGTCTCCATTAACATGATGTTACGCTGTAAAATGTTCCATGCCGTGCCCAGTGACACTTGATGCTGCGTTGTACGAACTTCTATACCATGTCTATAAACACTAGACATTATGTTGCATTTTTTCTTAAATTTCCATCCCGCCCCCATTTAACACTTGAGCGCCCTGTGCTTGGGAGATATTTGTTATACATGCAACGTGCCCAAGTAGCATGTCACCGCCCTCCCTCCCAAGGATTTTTGAAGTGTTTCGCAAACCCACATCAAGCCAAACATTCCATATCCTACGCAAGTTTCATTTTTATGCTTCACTGGAGGGCCGCATAATGGTCCAAACCTTTTAGGAACTGACGGCAGCTAGCCGCCCCTGTTGTGCTACACGGCTGGCCATGTAAGACCATCCAGCGATCGGGCTGCATTTTTTTTCACCACCATATTTGGTACAAGGCTTGGAATGGAATGTTCTCGCCAGGTTCGGCAAGTGGAATGGCAAAAAAACATTTTAAAAAAAAAAACGACCACAAACGCTCGGCCGTGTTGAGTTTCACCCGTTTCTTTTCCAATGACCTGCCTGCAAATCAACGCAGTCCCATCCACAACCGTCATCAATTTCCCATCACGCGGTTTGTCAAGCAAAGAACTCGCTGTCAATCCGGGACTGCAAATGCAAACGGAATTAGCCATCAAATTTTCAACTTTGGACGTTCGCGAAACATTATGGACGATTATGTGGTTGCGCGTCGCCATTGGCAGGGGTCATTGATCAAAAAGAAATTTAAAAAATACGCATCATGGGATGGAGTTCGGCTCTACCAAAAAAAGGGTTCAATCAGCTTTGACCCACCACCTGGGGCTGGCAATTGGACATGAGATTGTCGAACAGTAGCGCTTCGGTAGCGCTTAAAGGATCTTAAAGGTATGTGGGGAATTTTTTTCAAGGATACGAGATGATTTGACAACCGGTTCACAAGTCGCAGGTGGCATGGTTCGGAAACAGCAACTGGTGCTCCGCATCAAACATATTCATGTGCATATTATCTAATGGCCTTTGTAGCGGAAAAACCCTTCTTCATGTACCAGCACGTGAGGCCACAGGGGCAGGCACGAAGCTAGCAGGACTCTGCTAATGTTGTACCGGAAACCGCGCAGCTGCAAGGGCAAATTGATGAACTGATGATCGTCGGAGAGGAAAAACATGATGTTACTGTTGATGAGAACTGGTGATGGTCGGAAAGAAAAAAAATGTTACTGTTGATGATGATATGACGACACAATGATGATGACGACGATGACGATGATGACAATGATGATGACAACGCTCGAGGCGATGAACATGAAGAAGGCAAATATAAAGTATAAAGACGTAGAAACCTATACTTCTGACGAAGGTGACGCAGATGTTAGCGATAAAATAAATTATTGAAATGATACGCTCCCGCGGTCCCGCGGTCCAGCAAGCGGGAGCGTCGAAGAAGGATTGAAAGGTCAAGGGGCAGGTACAGGGTCGAACCGGGGCACATCCAGGGGGCCAGGGGGGGATTGAACCGGCCGGCCAGGGGGGAAGGGAGGGCGGGGAAGAGCGGAAGGGTATGACTGAAAAGTGTCAAGGTTTCCAACGGTCCTGGTGCCTGCCTATTCCTTGCTAAAGAAGCAAGAGTAACTTGAGCTAG